CTGCCTCTCTTTGCCCTTTGAAATTGAGCCTTCTGCAGAAACAGGCCTCCTCTGTAGGAAAGAAACCTGAAAATAGTGGTTTTTCACTTAATTTCTATGGTGTGAAAAGTGAAGGACTGTATGTATAAATATATATATATATGTATGTATAAATGTTCTAACTTTAACACTTGGCAAACAAGCAGTGTGACCTCCTATATCCCGAGGGGACATTTACCCAAAGGATCATGTCTCCCTGCGCCCTTGAGTGTTCATTTCCCCCTTCCCTTCAGCCTCTCGAGTAGCCATGAAGAGTCTGTGTTTGGATTTCTAGGGGCTGCAGTCTGTCTGAGGATGGGGGCATGCTGGCCCAGTGTCAAGGCCTGTCAAAGGAAGTGACCGAGCTCAGTCAGGAAGAAAAGAAATTAGATGAACTGATCCAAAGCTGCACCCTGGACCTCAAACTGTTAACCGAGGATTCAGAGAATCAAAGATATCCTTTGTGCCACCTGGTCATTGGGGTTTAGTGCCTTCTAGACTGTTTCCAGAATGGGCAATCTGACTTTTATGCACAAGGTAGAATTTTACTCTGGTTTCGTGCGCACGCATGTGGGGTGTGTGTGCCTGTGTGTATGTGTGTTGTGTGTGTGCATGTGTGCTCATATGTTTGAACCCACTTATCTTTGTATTCGAAGTCAGTACTTATGGAAAGATAATCACCTTTTATGTCTCTTTTATAGCAAGGAGGGAACCATTTTTAAAATTGTTTTATTCATGTGTGGTTGGCACGTATTGATACTCATAGCGTAAGGTAACACTATTATAAGATACAGATGGTGTCAGTATTAATATTAATGGCAACATTCCACAGGTTTGTCTTTGGCTTCCCAGATTTTGGGTGGGTGTTAGCTGTCATTGTTGGGGTTCTCACATTCTACTTTCTTTCCATCAGCTACTGGAGCAATTGGAAGTTGTCGAAGCTGTCTGATTGAGCTGTAGTTGAAGAAATAGAGAATATAAAAGAATTATCTGATAAATTTTAAAGAGCATTATGCTGATTCACAACACCAAAAATTGATTTTAGATGCACCGCAGCGCCTGAGAAATCTCAATTTATCTGTTCATCTGCAAACAGTAGTTCATGGAAATAAAAATGTAAAAAGCTAGTTTTTGTTCTCAGTAGGCTAACAATCTGTTGGCCACCTCAGGACAACTTACTCTTCATCTCACTTCAGACAAAAGATTGAGGAGATTATTTCGTTGTTTTGCCAAGAAGATTTTGCAGTATTCTCAGTTATTAGTAGGAGACAAAAAGCAATATTTTTAAATTACCCCATCTCTAATTTTAGTTCCAAACTTTAACTGTTCCACATTTACCTTTGTGAGGCAGACAATAAAATGTGTCCTGCCCACTTTCTTCTAGTGTCTCCTCTCCAATAGGCTTTCCCTTGGAGGGTGTGGGGACATTTATTTTCCAATTCAGGCTGTTTTTTGAAACTGCGATTGTTCATTTCCTGTTGACCAAAAGATTAACCTTGTCAGCTGATGATTAGTGAGATGGAGAAAGAGGTGTGCTGATATGAACCCCCAGTGGTGGCCAGAGTGGGTTTACAGGGGAAGAAACCAGAATAGCTCTCGTTGGGCTACTTCGTTCATTGCTTAGTTGGGAGCCCCAGTGAGGAGGAGATGTGGTGGTTCCACATGATTGGCAGCTTGTAGTTTATGGCATTGTCACCTACATTAGCTTTCTCTGGGGCCTTTGTTGCAGAAAATGAAAGCTTCCTAGCAGGGGACTGCTAACCCGAGAAGCAAATGCAGGAGGCAGCCACAGTGGAAGCACTTTTAAGTCTATAAGATTAGAGAATATGCTTGCACAGTTTATTTCCATGTGCCATTCAGTTCCGAATTTGGTACAGCTTGTTCACAAATGTGTTGAAATTTTCTTTCCTGCAGCATGTTGAGTAATTGCAGATGAGCCTTTATGTTAATGAGTTCTTGTCACGTAGTTTTTTCACTTTGGGCTGTGGTGTAAGTACCTGGTTGGTTATCAGTTTCCCCGGTGTTCTCAGTAAAAATTCCGAACTGTCAAGACTTGTTTTAACCCTCACACAAGGATACGCTTCTAGTGATTTCAGAGAGGGCGGGTGTGACGGAGGGAGGGGGAGAGGGGGAGAGAGAGAGAGAGAGAGAGAGACAGAGAGAGAAGCATCAATCAGTTGCCTGCCTCCCGCAGCCCTTTNTGTGACGGAGGGAGGGGGAGAGGGGGAGAGAGAGAGAGAGAGACAGAGACAGAGAGAGAAGCATCAATCAGTTGCCTGCCTCCCGCAGCCCTTTGGTATACCCGATGATGCTTCAACCAACTGAGCCACCCGGCCAGGGCATGTCAAGACTTTTTACAAAGGTACCGGTTGGCTTTCATGGTGAGATAAATATGATGACCTAAAACCTGGAATCCTGCTTGAACTGTACAGTCAAGCTCAACGCTGAACTGGCTGTTGTCTCAGTTATTGAGACTTTAGCTTTGATAAATGCCCCTAAATGTATGAGCAGATTTGTGGTGAATGTGCTTTTTTTTCTGGTGAGTGTGTTCATAGCTTCCTTCAATGCCTCATAAAAACTACTATTCTAAGGGACATTATTTCCTCTAGGTTCTCCAAGTCCTGTGTCTGTGATAAACATGTTAGATCACAGAGTCTATTAAGTACATTATTATATTGCCTGTAGAAATGCCTTCATTGAGTTGTGATTTGCTGTTTTATCGTAGGCATTTTTTTGGTGGGTTAACATAAAAAGAATGCTGGCTAAAGACATTGTACATTATGTTACTCCATGTTCCTTATTTAAGCAAACCATGCAACCTGTTCTTTTAGTGCCAAGTAAAAGCTTGTCTCTCTAGGCAAGCTTAAATGGATACTTTTATCGTATAATAAGTACCATCTTCTTTCATTATATCCTCGTAGGTTTGACTGCCAGGGCCCCTAAAGGAACCAACCATTCAGTGCTCAAAAGTAACTACCAAGAAGTACTGAAATATTATTTTACTCTCTTTTCCTAAATCAGTGTTTCTCAAATTCATTCAGGTTACAGACCATCTGGAAGCTGCTTTCTTCCTTGTGAACACTGAAATATTGATAGCGTTAATAATGTCATAAAAAGGATAATTTTTCTAACAGAGAAAGACTGACACTCTTAATATTTAATCACAACCAGCCCCGGTACACTTTAAAAAACATGTTGCCTGCCTCAGCAGTATTCTGACTTCTTCCACTAATATATCTGTTTGCTACTCATTCATTCATTCATTCATTTGGGTGGCTGCTGACACTTGCTAATAGTCAAGTACAAGATAGCAATTGTTGGAATTTGAGAAAAGATATGTTTAATAGAGCTTATTTATTACTTATTTATTTTTCTGTAAATTGGGATCTGCCATCATTCAGTTTGAGTGACAGCAGACTTCATTAGAGGGCATGGAATACTTGTGCTCCAGAGGAACTTGGTTTGAAAATCCTGTACCAAATTGGGTTTTGGTTTTCTTTTGATAATTTTTTATTTCAACTATTCTGTTTCTGTGTTTATTTAAAAAACTTAAATAGCCATGGACTTTTTTTAAAACAGGCAGAAAAAGCTATACATTTCTGTTGTTGTCCCAGAAAATAAGATTCGTGGGAGATCCCATATATTTCAAGATATAGAAGGCAAGACAGATATATTCTTATAAATCATAAAATACTTCAAAAATTTTCCATGCGTCTATTTTGTTATCCTCATAATGGTTATTACATCTGAGGCAATTACTTAGAAGATTTCCTTAACAGTCATTACGTTAGCTTATGTTACATATCAAGATATTCGAAAAATTAGTGGCCTTAAAGACCAAACTGTTATAGTTGTGAAAGCCCCTCCAGAAACAAGACTTGAAGTGCCTGACCCAGTAGAGGTAAGGAGACACCGTCTTTGTTCGTCTGCAGAGGTCTTTTGGGGATGCCTGAAGTTAAACAACCGTTAACTTCTGGTTAAAGCCTGTATCCCCCTAAAAACTAGGAAGCTCTTTCCCCCTCTATTTGACTTAACTCTAACTTTCAGAACATTTCAACAGTTCAGGGTATACTGAGTGTCCAGAAAGTCTAATTGTAACATAGCAGGGCACTCAGGTCAAGGTGGTGTAGAGTGGCCTGTCCCTCTTGTACTTTCTTTTTTATTTTTCATAATTTGTTGGTTCTGATCATTTTGAACTTTTGGGGAATTTTATGTTGATTACTCTAGATATGGTTCCCACTACGAAGAGAGGTATGTTTTAAAGCATCTCCCTAACTTATCTTAGCGTACTTAAGAATTTATCATTTACATCATGTTTACTTTTAAGAGATAAAATGGGACTTTGGGTTATTTGATAGAGGAGGATATTGTAAGAAAGTAAGGGACATATTTTTGTGATTGGTTTCAGGTATCATTTGATAATAATAGTCCCAGACTATAATTCTAAGGTAAAGAAATGTAGTAAAAAGAATATGCATAGGAAATAAAAAGAGAATGAAATGTGCAAGCTCCCATCTAGGGTAGCGTTCTCACCTTAAGTGATAATAATAGCTCTATGACCTAGATGAAGAGGAATTTTAAATATTAGTGTGCTACATTGTCTTACTAAACTCAGTTCCAGTGGTTTTTAAACTTCAACATAAAAAAAAGCCTATAGTTGTTTGTTTGTTTTTTTTAAAAAAAAGAATACATTTAGAGAGCATAATTCACCTCTTCCAAGGCAGGGGTCAACAAAATTTTTCTTAAAAAAAAATTTTGAGACAGTAAATATTTTTGGCTTTGTGAGCCATATGGTCCTGTTGGAACTGCTCACGGCACAACTCTGCCATTGTAGCAGGGAAAAAAAACTAGTCAGAGGCAATGCATAAATAATGGGAATAAGCGTGACTGTGCCAATAAAACTTTATTCATAAAAATCAGTTGGTAGACTGGATTTGGCCCTTGGGCTATAGTTTGCTGACCCATCCTCTAGAGGATGACAGTCATTGAAAAAGGTGGACTATCTGTGGAAAAGGAAAATGAACTATGAAAATTACCCTTACTTTACAGTTTTAGGTGAAAATTACTATAGCTTTCCTTTCTAAAGGAACTTTCATTCTGAACTTTTCTCACTTTTTTCTGTTCATAGAGCCTGCAAATACACTTGGCAAGTACTCAAGGGCCCATTGAGGTTTACTTGTGTCCAGAAGAGACTGAAACACATAGTCCAATGAAAACAAACAACCAAGACCACAATGGGAATATCCCTAAACCCACTTCCAAAGGTAAGAATGCTGTTTTTGTCATTTGGAAACTATGTTAAAAATGAAGGTGACTAGAAGGATCCTGTATCAGGAGCACAAGTCTAGGCAAGACACAAAATCTTCTATTATTATTGTTTTGAAGGTAACGTTTTTTTAAAAGGCATTCTGACTAGTTTATAGGATAAAATAATGATCTTGGGCTAATGACTCCTCCACCCACTAATGGAGTCCCTCCGGCTTTTGCTATTGGCAGAAACCATTTCCTTACAGTGTTTGGAAAACCAGCTGAAGTGGGGAGTGAAGCTGGGCGAATCTTCAGCTACCCTTGGCCACACATCTCTGCCTGATGCTACAGAGTTCCTTAGAGAGAGAATTTAAAATGTTTGGGGAGAAAAGCCTTCTGTCAAAGAAGTTTTATCTTAATTTCCCCTCCTTCCCCACAATGTGATGGGGCGAGGATATGGGAGAAACCCCTAGCCAAATAAATCTAACTTTTCCCTGCACTGTCCCTAGAGCAAAGGCAGCTCTTTGTGGGTGTTTTTGTTTTGTTTTGTGGGGGTTTTTTTTGTGTGTGTGTATGTGTTTTTCTCCTTCAGTTTCAGTTTAGGAATATGTATTTAGTTTTTTCCCCATCTCCCAATATAGCAGCAAGAATAGCAGTGATTTAAGTGAATAGATCTGACTTAATACTGAACAAAGAAATGCAGTTGATGTCTGAAACCAGAGATAGTACTGAACCCTGTACAGCTGACCCTTGAACATCAACAGGGTTAGGGGTCCCTCTGCCCTCAGTCAAAAATCCACATATAAACTTACAGGTCCCCCAAATCTTAAGTTGTCCCTCGGTATCCGCGGGGGATCAGTTGCAGGACCTCCGTAGACTCCCAGGTGCGGATCAAAGACAGTGCAAGTATTTACTGAGAAAAAATCTGAGTATAAGTGGGCACATGTCGTTCAAGGGTCACCTGTATATATTGTTTTTTCCTATACACACATACCTATGATAAAGTTTAATTTATGAATTAGGCACAGTAAGAGTTTAACCACAATAACTAATAATAAAATAGAACAATTATAACAATGGACTAATAAAAGTTACATGAATGTGGTGTCTCTGTCAGAATGTCTTGTGCTCTACTCACCCGTCTTGTGATGCTGTGAAGTGATGAGGTGGAGTGAGGAGAATGGTGTGGGCCCTGTGAGGTGGCGTTAGGCTCTATAAGGGGCACTTGAACACAGCACTGTGGCACCACAACAGTCTGCTGATAACAGAGATGGTTCCTAGGTGACTTAACGGGCAGGGAGTGTCTGCCATGTGGAGATGCTGGACAAAGGGATGATTCACATCCTGGGCAGGATGGAGCAGGACAGCGCGAGATTTCATCACCCTGCTCAGAACAGTGGCAATCTAAAACTTAGGAATGTTTACCTCTGGAATTTTCCATTTTAATATTTAATAGTTGACTATGGGTAATTCTGAAACCGTGGAAGCAAAGCCACAGATAAGGTGTACAACACATCAAATAGTAAATCAAAAGACACTTTTCCTCCATAAATATTAAAAGTGAATATGTCTTATTATTTGTATTTTTAGAGGTATCTTTAATAAGCTGGTTGTTTGCCCTGGCCAGGTGGACTCGGTTGGTTAGAACTTGTTCCCAATATGCCAAGATTGTGGATTTGATCTGGCCAGGGCACATATAAGAATCAACTAATGAATGTGTAAACAAGTGGAACAAATCAATGGTTTTTTTCTTTCTTTCTCTCTCTTTTTCTCTCTCAAATAAATAAATAAATAAATAAAGCTAGTGACTAAGTTAAAATCAGTGAGTTTCTACTAGGGAGCCAACTTTATAATATGTACCGCATGTTTTGTTTTTCTGAAATAATGACTAATTGATACTAGAGAAGTTTTTTAACTTGTTAGCCTCTAATCTTTGGAGCTCAGCAGGTATTTTAAGAGAGGAGGGAGGAGACTAGAACAAAGAAAGGCTGCAAGAGGTGATGTGTATCATAACGTTGTCTAATTGTCATTAGCAGAGGGTGAATGCTTTTATAACAGCAACCTGTGTATTCTAAGGAAAAAAGAATCATTTTGGTTTTCTCCTGATTTATTTTTGTGTTTCCACCAATTTTTTCCTTTCAGACTTGGCTTCAACCAACTCAGGACATAGTGATTGCTCGATTTCTATGGCAAACCTTTCTCCTTTGGCCTCCCCAGCCAACCTTTTACAGCAGACTGAGGACCAAATTCCTTCCAACCTCGAAGGACCATTTGTGAACTTACTGCCTCCCCTGCTCCAAGAAGACTATCTCCTAAGCCTCGGGGAGGAAGAAGGTATCAGTGATCTCTTCGATGCTTATGATTTGGAAAAGCTCCCGCTGGTGGAAGACTTCATGTGTAGTTGATTATGCTTTGTGAACTCCCCTTATAAACCAATATTTTTTTATTAATGGAACCAGAACATCAGTCATGCAGTGTTGTCCCTTCCTACCTTCTTCCTCCAAGATAGTATCATGAAGTAAACTACAAACTTCAGAACAAAGCTGACATTTTAATGGAATTTTTTAAATAAATTGTCTAAACGCACAGTTGCAGGCTCCCTTGGGAAAATCCTGCTTTGCCCCAGGCTCCAAAATCTCCTGGATGAGTCAGCAAGTGAGAAAATGTGCAATCAGGTGTCTCTCACCCATACTTTTCCTCCCTCCCTCCCGGATTGGCTTGCTGTGCCTGACGGATGGGCTGTAGAATGGGGTCTGGCCACCTGGGCCACTGGAATACAGCAATCTTCCTTAATAGCATTTCAAGCCGTGCCTTCTCTGCAGAAAGCATGTCGTTGGGGTCTGCTAATACGGAATGGAACTACAGGAACTGTAAACTTGAAGTCATGCAAAAGTATGAAATGGATGTCTTCAGCTCTTCTTAGGAATATTTAAATTACTGTCATAATTCAGTGTAAGCTATGGACCGTGTGTCCCACTAGGAGGTCAAGAGAACCTCCACAGCCTTTCTGATGAAGAACCTGTTTTCGAGTACTTGTTGCAGATACAGAAGAATAGCCGAGTTCTGCCACTCTAAGCTGTTGTGGATTTTCCTGTCTCCATAAACCACTCCCACTCCCCTGCCCCCAGCGTGTTTGTGAGTTTAAAGTTGATTTGTAGCAAATGCCTACTTCGGAGTTCTTTGTGGATTGTTTTAGACTTTATTTTATCTTTTAGCTGCCATTTAAGCATTCCTGTGGCACCCATCACCATTTCAGTTTGTTTACTTTGAAGCGGTTTTTGCTAATTCAGATTATTTAAGCAGAGGTAGGGAACCTCTCTGATCGGAGCATCTAGCGTGTGAGTGGGCCTGAGGTTTAACAGCCTTTGCGGCTTCCTTTCCCGGAGGGGGGCCGGGAGCCAGGCAGGCCTGGAGCTCGCTGGCCCTGGTGGCCCATCCGAAAGGGGAACCGGGTCGGGAGACGTGGCAGGCCCAAGGGACAGCAGGCGGGGGCCGTGGGCCCTGGCCTCCCGGCGCCCCCGGCCCAGGCTCTCTTACACCGCACTCAGGGAGACCGCCCCTCAGGATGGGGTCGGATGGGAGGAAGACGCCCCGTGCGGGGTGGCATCCCGTAGCGGCTTTTGCTCTCGCTGGTGAGGGCAGGGAGCGCCCACTTTGCGGGGCGCCGTGGTACCCCGGCCAGAGCCCGCCCCCCCTCTGAAGGAGCAAGGTGGCCCAAGGGGAGCGCGGGCGTGGAAGACGAAGCGGGGGAGCGCCAGGGTGCCCCCCGCCTCGCCCTGCAGGAGTGCTGTCCCCCGCGGAGGCCTTTGCGTTGGCGGGGGGAGGTGGCCCTTCCCCACCGGGAATGCGCCCTGGTACCTCGTCCATTCCTTGGGTGCTGAAGCCCGCGGGGTGAGGGAGCCTTAGGGACAACGAGCCCCAGCGCGAACAGAGCCCGGAGTGCTCTGTGCCCCGCCCGGCGGCAGGCGCGCGATTCGCGTGCGGAACCGAGTTCAAACTACCCCTTAGGAAACACGCAAAACGGAAAACCACGAGCCCCCGGCCCGTTCACTCCAGGTAGATTTCCACAATATGCAAAGTGGTGGTGGGGTCAGAACCGTGACACCAGCACTTTAAACGATTCGTGTGGGTATGCGTGGGTGTGTGTGTGGGAAGAAAACAAAGGTGCAGATGACCGTCCTTTCCCCTCTGCCTCCAGCCCGGCCTCCTCCCGCACACACTGGACTTGGTACAAATGTGGTCCGAGATGACGACGCTGCGGGGCGGGGGGAGGGGAGCTTTGTGTCAAGTGCCTACTGGAAATGCACTGTGGGGTTTTTTTCCTGTATGGGAAACCGTTTATGCCAAGCTTTTCCCCATTTCCCATATTTATCTCATCCGGTTAGCTGCCTCTGCTTCCAGCCTTGTGTAATTCTCTGCCAGCTGCACAAAGCTGATTTTTTTTTTTTCCAAAGTCTAAAGACTGAGCTCACCTGGCTAGGTGGTTGTGTGTTTTGTTGAGTTTCTCGTTAAACCTTTCGTAATGTAATGCCGTATTTATTGTTTTAAAATGAAAGGAATACTAATAAGTCTTAAAAGTTCCTTCGTGCATAAGATTTCTTCAGTTAATGGGCGTTAACTGGTGGATATTCATGCAGTGTCCATACTGTGTTCTGTCTGCATTAGTCATTTTCTTTTTGACAAAGTGGATTAGTTCCCCAGTATTTGTGTTCCTTTAAGTCAAAGTATGCCGGTTTCCTGGTACCATTGAGTTGCTGCTATTAAAAGCTCACACATGAAATGGCTAAAAGTTACAAGTGTGCGAATTATGACTGCGTGAGCCTTAGAAAATAAACTGTATAAAGGGCAACACATGAGCTGTCAAACAGTGTTAAGGTGTGTGTTTATATGTACAGATGTGTGCATAGCAATTGTTCTATTTAAGTTGACATGTAGTCTACTCACCTTTTCATTAGCAATTTTGTACAAAGATAGCAATTAATTTGTAAACACTGCCAGAATATTTTCTAGCTGGTTTGTAATTTTTTAAGAGTGTTATATTTTGTTTTTGTTGTTTTGTTGTGGTTCTTGTTTCCATTTTTGTTTCAAGTGTAGATCTGTAAATAAAATTGCAGTATTTAAAGCTTTCAGGAAAAAGAAGTCAGAACTCAGCGTGTGCATGACAACTCGTGTGTGTGAGAGGAGGGATTTGAAGGGGAGGATGCCTTGTAGAGTGAGTCAGGTGGCAAGTGTCAGATTGTGGGAATTTCTTTTCCTATGGGGTACGTGATTTTATCAAAGGGAAATATTTCTCCCAAAATTGGGAGAAGGCAAACTACTAATCAGTTTAGCTTTGTGTGTTGTATGCTAGTTTAAAAAAGAAAATGTGTAATATAATGTAAAAAAAAAAAGCTTTTATGATGGATTTTGTAAATAGATTTGTTACAGGGTAACCTGTTCTCTAGCTGTGATCTTACCACTTCAAATGGGTGTAATTTGAATAAATTTTGTATGGTAATGGATCAATAAAATGATTTTTTTTTTTAAGAGTTGCGACTTGTGGCTGGATTTTCTTACTTTGGTCTTACTCTCCTATATTAATTTCATTTTTAAAGACATGCTTTGCAAGTAGAGGCGAAAGCTTAAGACACTGTGTGTTCCCCGTGATTTGGGGCTTCAGGAACACTGAGCAGGTATTTGTGGAGCACCTGTGGTGTGCTCCCCACTTGGGAAGCACAGGAACTTGCCGTGTCTGACCACCTCAGAGACCACTCCCAGGTACTGAAGAAGGATTTTTATACTGAGAAAGTGGCAAGTCGAGTTCTGTTCCTCATAAGGAGTATGAAGCCAATAAATGTTCTTTTTTCAATATTGGTAATTACCTCCGTTGTTCAAAATTCTGTATTTCTTGTAATGCCAAATTGGGGCTTAACTGCTGTGTCACACTCTTAACTCTGAGCTCATCTAAAAACTTCAAAATGTGTACCAAAAAAAATTCCCACGCCCCCAGTCTATTTACCCCAGAGGTAACCACTACTCTTTTCATTTTTCTTCACGTCTCGTTTCCTAGGCATATATAAACGTGTGTGCATGCATATGTGTATTTTAACAAATTATACCAAATATATGCTGATCTTTAGCTTTTTCCCCCCCACTAACTACATCTTGGACATCTTTCCATGTTTCTACTTAGAGATCATGTTCATTCTCTTCAAAGGCTGCATAGTATTCCAGTAATTAAAAACATTTAATAATTTATTGATCTAGGTGATTTTCTATTTGAGCGATTAAAAAAATTTTTTTAATCACCCCAGGACATGCTTTTATTGATTTTCAGAGAAAGGGAAGGGGGGAGAGAGAAACATCAATACAAGAATGAAACATTGATTGGCCGCCTCCCACACACCCCAACCAGGGATGGAACCCACAACCTGGGTATGTACCCTGACCAGGAATCGAACCCGAGATCTTTTGGTATATGGGACAACGCTCCGACCAACTGAGCCATGCTGGTCACGGCTTGAGTGATTTTTGTTTGTTTTGCTATAAAGTAATATATAACATTGAATGCTTATATTCCAGGTACTATTTATATTATGCCAGGTAAAATACATATGACGAAATTAACCATCAATGACATTTAATACATTCACAATGTTGTGTAAGATCACTATTTCAGGACGTTTTCAGCCCCCCCAAAAAAACCATACCCATCGAGCCATCACGTCTCATCTATTCCCAGCCCCTGACAACCACTCATCTGCTTTCTGTCCCTACGGATTTGCCTGTTCTGGATATTTCCTATAAATGGAATCATACAATACATGACCTTTTGTGTCTGTCTTTTTTTACTTAGCATAATGTCCTCATGGTTAATCCAAGTTATAGCATGTGTCAGTACTTCATTCCTTTTTATTTTTTTAAATATATTTTTGACTTTAGAGAGAGAAAAACATCAATCTGTTTCCTCCCACACACATCCAGATGGGATGGAACCTGCAACCTGGGCGTGTGCCCTGACCAGGAATCAAACCGGTTATCTTTTGGTGCAACGGACAATGCTCCAGCTCANACTCCCACACACATCCAGACGGGATGGAACCCGCAACCTGGGCGTGTGCCCTGACCAGGAATCAAACCGGTTATCTTTTGGTGCAACGGACAATGCTCCAGCTCACTGAGCCACACCTGCCAGGGCTTCATTCCTTTTCCTACCTGAATAATACTCCATTGTATGGTCATGCTACATTTTTTAAACCCATTTATCAGTGGATGGACATTTGGGCTTCCACCTTTTGGCTATTGAGATGCCAGGTACTATTATTATAAGTGCTTTCTTGAGCACTCTGTTTTCAAAGCACACATCACTAGCTAATATGATATCTCCTCTTCCAGAATGTAAGCTCAGTGAGGAGAGGTACTTGGTACGGTGCACTGTTGGGTCCCCAGTTCTTAGAAAACATATTTATAATACCTAATATATGAATGAATTATTCCTGTTTTGCTGACGAAGAGTCTGAGGTTTAAGAATATTTTTAAAAACAATGCCCAAAGGCAACAGTGATATAATGAGCTCAAAGATTTTTTACCTTTGCTGTCATCTTCCTCATTTTGTACCTGGTACTGGAATTTTCATTACTATTGTTTTGCATTTTTGTTTTCATCCTTAGTTCTGCCTAGGAGTTCCATTTTCCCAGAATTTGGGCACCTGATTTCTGTCATCCAACACAGCTACTATCTACCCAGGGATTTGCACCGTCCGTCAGCGGGCATTCTATAGTTAAGCCAGTGATGAAATCAGAACAAAATGATGCATGATGTATTCCTTGTTCCAGTTAGACTACTGGAGGCAGGGGTGGTGGGAGCTAGCAAATAAACAAGAATTGCCGTCTGGCCAGCGGCTCAAGCTGAGCATCGACTTCTGATCCAGGAGATCGCGGTTCAATTCCCTGGCAGGGCACATGCCTGGGTTGCGGGCTCAATCCCCGGTTGGGGGCGTGCAGGAGGCAGCCAGTCGATGGCTCTCTCATCATTGGTGTTTCTAACTCTCCCTCTTCCCTTCCTCTCTCTGAAATCAATAAAGACATATTTAAAAATTAAAAAAATAAAAAGGCTAATGTATAACTAGAACGTGTAAATATTTTATAATTCAGAACCTTACTTGAGTATTGTTTCAGAAATGCGCTTATTCTATTCTGGGAACAATTTAGAAATCTGTCTCAATATTATTGAGACAAAAGAAAACCATTATAGAAAAGTTAATTGAATTCACTCATACAATATCCATTAAGAGAAACATGTTCAACTTATTTACTGCTGGCAGGGGTGTAAACTGGTCCAGCCACTATGGGAAACAGTCTGGCGATTCCTCAAAAAATTAAGACTAGAGTTACCATATGACCCAGCCATCCTTCTCCTGGGTATCTACCCCAAAAACTTGAAAACATTTATTCACAAAGACATAGGCACCCCCATATTCACTGCAGCATTATTCACGGTGGTCAAGGCATAGAGACAACCAAGGTGTCCTGAGAAAGAGGACTGGGTAAAGATGTGGTGCATACACACAATGGAACACTACTCAGTCATCAGAAAGGATGAAACACTGCGATCTGCAACGACATGGACGGACGTTGAGAATATTATCCTAAGTGAAATAAATCAGTCAGGAAAAGCTAAGAACCATGATATGATCTCATTCATATGTAGGATATAAAACTGAAACCCAGACACAAACAGAGGGAAGGGGATGGGGGATGAAGGGGGACTAATATATGGTGACAGGAGAAGATGTGACTTTGGGTGGTGGGGACACAGTGCAATATACAGATTTTGTATCACAGAAACCCACACCTGAAATCTATATTATCCTATTAACCAATGTCACTCCAATAAATTTAATAAAAAAGAAAATACGGTGCACTGTAAGCACTCAATACATTTTCCCTTTAACTCCTTAAAAGAGAGAGAGAATCATGTTCATTTTTTTATTCTGTTATTCCTTGAACAAGCAAAAATGTCAGGGACTGTTGTAAGTGCTGGAGTCCGAATAGAAAAAGTCATAGTTCCTGTTAGCAAGAGGAAGCTTACTGTCTAGTTGGGAAGAAACAAGTTTAGCTAGGAGAAGTAAATACTGAGGGCCAGACACTGAATAAGTGACTTTTCTTTCTGAAGCTATGTTTGGAAGACTTGGAAGGACAGATGGTTAGAGGCAGAAATGGAAATGAAGGAAGGATGACGCCTTTACAAAGCAGGAGAGACTTGATCTCGGGTGGTTTAGGGACCTGTGCATCTGGATGCAGAAGTGCTTGCAGAAGACTGTAGAGCAGGCACAGCTCAAGTGTAAATCAGCAGATGCATTTTCTAGTCTACATCATGACTACAACCCTGATTTCATGGAATCATTACATGGTAGATCATGCATTGGGGTATTAATGAGAATTCCTGCACTGGCTACTTAGAATTAATCAGTCAGGAGTCAATCAGAACTTAAAAGAAGTAGCATTCGTAGCAGGAAGTTGAATGCAAAAGCAAGCTTTTCATTGTGCCCTTAAATCTGGGCCTTGAAGACTGAAAGATGAACACAGGAATTTATTAAAATATTCTGAAATGTTTATAATACTAGACGTGACTATCATGCTGTTCGTGTGTGGGAAGAGGGTCATCAAAAAGTCGTGGAGTTCCTTCTGCTGGAGTGTCTGGGAAGTGCTGTGGGAAACAGGAGGGAAAAGTCCTGTGCCATCAGGGATGTGCTTCGGAAACAATACAAAGCTCTTGCAGTGCTCCTGCTGGGACGTTTCAGGACTTGGGCATATTACCATAGAACAGAATGGACAGCTCCTAGAGGAAGGTGGGGTGTATGTATCTTTTCTTTCCCCCATCCACTTCAGCTGCTCACTGCGTACAAGTCAGGAACACAGAAACATGGGATTAAATCTCCAGAATTAAGATAAACAAATGAACCAAAAACATTAATGAAGGCCTAGTTTTTCAACTCAACCAAAGCCATGTCCTGGTAATGATCACAGATTCATTAAATTTGAGTTGGAAGAGGCAACCTCACATCCAATAAGGAGCTGTTTTCATTACGAGACAATTCAGTTATCTTTTTTTTTTTTCAAGAAAACAGTCTCCAGAATCCTAGTCCAACATTCTTTCTGCTGTACCCATAAGGTCTCCTAGTTGCCCCGCTCAGATATGCACATCAGAAACCTTGGCCCCGGAACCATAGCCTGACCATCACGCTAACCTGTCATTTTGAATTAGCGTAAGCTTCTGGAAGGTCCCCGTCACGGTGCCCACTAGCACTGGAATGCCGCCACGCTTCCACGCCCGTCTCCCGGGCTGTGCTCGCATCATCCTCTGCGCCTACGTGTGCACAACAAACTGGGAGAGATGGGAGTTGTTGGAAGTGTAATTTTGGAGGACTTTTCAGTGATTCTCTTGTCCTCAGTCTTTGATAAAAATAAGCTTGCTCTATTTAAATAGAGGAAGAATCATGTTGGCAGCAGCTTTTCAGTAGGATGTTCTGCTTCCCCCCCAAAAGGCT